GAGTTTTTTTCCAGCACTTTTTTTTTACAGTGGTACTAATTTTTTTTCATTCTTGATATGTGGGCATTGCTTGGCATCATTGCCCATTCCTAGTAACCAGTTTTCATTTGATTGAGTTTCATTGATGGATCATTTTGGAGGGAAGGTAAGAGTTAATTTTGCAGTAAGGCTGCAATCACAGGTCAGCAGACACTAGGGTAAAAACATCAGATTTCCTTCCCCAAAACACATTGATGAAGCGTCATGAGATTTTAACATGTGTTCTCAGGATTAGTGTAACAGTTAAAGCAAGTTTTACTTACTTGTTATAGCAGGTAATTAGGAAGGCAAATTGCATGTTGATCTTTATTGCAATGGGGCTGCAGGCAAAAATATGGAAGTCTCGTTACAACTGTACAGGGCTTTAGTGAGATGTCTCCTTGATTGTGTGCAGTTTTGGTCCCCACATTTAATGAGGGCTGTACTTACACAGAAAGTGAAGGGTCTATGGGTTGCTGCCTGGGATCAGCGGCTTGTCTGATGATGAGTAAATTGGGGTCACATTCTCTGGAATAACAAGGTGTAGAGCTGGCTGAACACAGCAGGCCAAGCAGCATCAGAGGAGCAGGAAAGCTAACGTTTCGGGCCTAGACCCTTCTTCAGAAATGGCCGGAGTTTGGCAGAATGAGAGGTGACATTGCTGAGGTAGACAAGATTCTGAAGGGACTTGATCAGATCAACACTGAGATCGTCTCCTCTGGTCAAAGAATCTAGAACACAGGGTGGGGTCACAGTCTCAGAATAAGGGGCCAATGGTTTCAGACTGAGATAGGGAAAAATGTCTTCACTCAGATGTTAGGGAATCTTCAAAATTCTGTACTCCCGAGAGTTGGGGGTGCTCCATTGTTGAATATATTTAAGGCTGGTCCAAACAGGTTCCTGGTCTTTAGCAAATCAAGGGATATGGGGAGTGGGCAGGAGAGTGGATTTCAAGACCAAGATCAGTCATAATCATAATAAATGGCGGAACAGGCCAATTAAAATATCTGTCAATGTTGGTTTCCACTTTGGCATTCTGGTGACCTGTTCTGATCAGTCCAAGATTAAAAGGCTCAACTCAATGCGTCTTTTGTCCCTCACAATACTCAGGTTTTACAGAATCTAGACTTGTTATGGTGCAGAAGGAAGCCATTCAGCCCATTATGCCTATGCCAGCTCTTCAAATGAGCATCATTAGTCAGTGCCAATCACCTGCCATTTCCCCATATCCCTGCAAATTGTTTCCATCCAAATAACCATCCAATGTCCATCCTGAATGCTTCAATTAAACCTGCCTTCACCACATTTCCAGGCAGTTCTTTCCAGACCCTAACTACTTGCTGTGCGATTAAGTTTTTTCTCACATCACCCTCACTTTGTTTGCACGTCACTTTAAAAACTACACCCTCTCACTTCTCTTTTACAAGTGGGAACAGCTTCTCCCTATCTACTTTGTCCAGCCCACTCATGATTTTGAAAATCGTTATAAAATCTCCTCTCAGACTTCTTCTCTCCAAGCAGAACAGCCTCAATCTATCGTCATTACTGAAGTGTCTCATTCCCGAAACCATACTTGTAAATCGCTTCTGCACTCTCTCCAGTACATTCACATCTTTCCTATAATAAGGCTCCCACAAATGTACACAATACTCCAGCTGAGGTCTAACAAGTTCAACATCATGTCCTCGCTCTTGCACTATATGCCCTATTAATAAAGTCGAGGACACTGTAGGCTTTATTAACTACTCTCTCCACTTGTTTTGCTACCTTCAATGATCTGTGCATATATTCAACCAGTTTCCTCTGCTCTTGCATCCCCTGTAGAATTGAAAAAGCTTTCATAATGACTATCTATATACAGGCAGCTTGAGATGAACAGGAAGAGGTTGTACAAAACATTAATGTTGGAATGAATGATAAGGGCCAAATGGCCTGTTTCTGTGCTGTGCACTCTTTTTATTTCTATGGACGAGCAAATTATATTTACACACTTACCAGGTAAAGGCTAAACACCATTTTACTCTAATATGAAGATTAACCCTTTCGTATGAGGAGGGAAGGAATAGATGAGACCTCGAATCACCAGAGTTCAGAAGATCAAGAGCTGGCCTCATTGAAACATACAATGTTTATCAGGAACTTGATGGACTGGTTACTGAAGACAGGTTTCCCTGGTTGGAGAGTCCAGGACACAGTCACACTTCAGAATGAGACATCAGCCATTTAAGATAGAGACAGGAATCACAGAGATGTTTGTTAAGGACAACTTTAATTTGTATTTTATATTTTGTAAGTGAACAAGGGGGAAACATAGTTTCATTTCATTTTTGAGCATTCTTGTGAGCTTGGTGTTGAAGTGTGTGGAAGCATGTTGTTTACATGCATTTTAGTGAGATTTTACAACCTTGACTTGGATAGCTGGGGGTTAACAGGTCAGTGCATTAAAGAATGCCCCAAGAAAGTAAAATTGCAGTTTGCCCAGTGACAGAGGTCCAGGATCACACTGAGAGACAGAACAATGCAGATAGCAGTGAGTCTATACGGGTGTGCTAGATATTGGAGGCTGAAGTGTTAAACTCTCTGGCAAGTATCTGGCAAGAAAACTGCTGGAAGTGGAGTTAGTGGACTCTTGTATTTGCTCTGAATTAAAGTAACTCGTTTACAGTTTGTTGGCTCAGAGAGAAGTACCAGCTAAAGGAAATCAACTTCTTGTGGCAGCACAGAAATTCACTGGAAGGAAATTGATTACACTGTGCCAGCCAAAATATGGATATGGTGGTAAACCTTTGGTGAGGGTTGGCTTTTGTAAAGATATTACAGGAATAAAAGCAATAATGTGCATGTGAATTCTTTTTTCTGGTGTTTGTAATGATATCTTGACAGCTGATTTCTCCAGTGGAATATTGTTCATGCTTCCCTTTCTTCAATGAACACTTTTTCTTTGTGTTCAGAGTATACCAGCAGCTTCTTGTGAATGTGTTCAAAAACTGACCTCAATGGCTGTAACAAAAAGTTCACATTAAACTAACGGGTCCCAAACTGTTCACAGTATTCCAGCTGCGGTCTGACCAATGCTTTGTGTGGTTTTAGCAGAACCTCCACATTTTTATACTCCAAAACCTTTGAAATAAAGACCAACATTCCATTTACTTCCCCTATCATTTGCTGAACTTGGATGCCAGCTGTCTCTGTTCTGTAGCTTTCTGCAGACTTTCTCCAGTTAAATAAGCACTGTGTTTATGTGGTGAGTCCAGTTGAATTTCTGGTCAATGGTAACCCCCAGGATGTTGATAGTTGGGGATTCAGTGATGGAATATGAAGGAGAGATGGTTAGAATCTCTCTTGCAAGTGATGGCCATTGCCTGGCCCTTGTGTGGTTTGAATGTGTTTGGCCCAAACCCGGATATTGTCCAGATCTTGTTGCATTTGGGCACAGACTGCTTCAGTATCTGAGGAGTCACGAATGTTGATGAACATCCTGCAATCATCGGCAAACATTCCCATTTCTGACCTTATGATGAAGGGAAGGTCATTGATGAAGCAGCTGAAGATAGTTGGGCCGAGGACACTACCCTGAGGAACTCCTACAGAGATGTCCTGGAGCTGAGATGACTGATCTCCAACAACCACAACCATGTTAAATTAAAGCAAAACACTTGTGAATGCTGGAGATCTGAAACAAGTGAAAATAGAAATTGCTGGAGAAGCTCAGCAGATCGAGGAGTATTTGTAAAGAGAGAACAGAATTAACATTTGAGTCCAGTGATCCTTCTGTTCGGTTCAGAACATTCTGAAGAAGGGTCACTGGACTCAAACATTAACTCTGTTTCTGTCTGTACATATGCTGTCAGATCTGCTGAGTTTCACCAGGAATTTCTGTTTTTATTTGTACCGCAACCATCTTACTATGTGCTGGGCATGATTCCACCCAATGGATAGATTTCCTCCTGATTCCCATTGACTCCAGTTTTGATAGGGCTCTTTCATGTCATATTTGGTCAAATTACAGTCGTTGCGGGAGGCATGGTGAAGTGATATCATCGTTGGCTTGTTATCAGCAATTCACCAGGGTTCCTTTGACATCAATATATATTGTAAATAATTGTGGCCCCAGCACTGATCCCTTTGATAGGTTACAGGTTACCATCCTGAAAATGCCTCCCTTATCCTAACAATGTCACCTATCAGTTAGCCAATCCTCTATTCATGCTAACAAACAACCCCCAATACCATGGGCTCTTCCCTTAAAAGTGGCCTAATGTGTTGCACCTTATCAGATGATAACTGGAAGCTACTGGACTCAAAATTGTTTCTGCAGCACATAAATGTAAAAGAATGTTAAAAAAAAATCACATCGCTGCTTCTAGGATTTTGCTGCGTGCAAATTAGTTCCTTCTGTCTCTTTTATTCCAACAGGGAACTTACTTCAAAAGTACTTTGTTAGTTGGAAACTGCTATGAAACATCAAAACTAGGAGCAGGAGTAGGCCATTCAGCCCTGCTCTGCTGTTCAATATGATCATGGCTGATTAGCCGACTAAGTTCCCTGTTCCCGCTTTCTCCCCCATACCCTTTGATCCCTTTAGCCCTTAGAACTATATCTAACTCCTTCTGGAAAACATTCAATGTTTTGGCCTGAACCACTTTCTGGGACAGAGAATTCCACAAGCTCCCCACTCTCTGGGTGAAGACATTTTTCTTTATCTCAGGGACTTCTTGAGGCTGTAAAAGGCATGATTACAATACACGTTTTTCTGCTTTATTTTCATTCTTCAGAATAAATAATTCTTTTCTTTCTAATTTGTTTATGGGATTTGGGTGTTACTGGCTGGGTCAGCACTTATTAACTATCCCTAATTGCTCCAGAGAAGGTTGGTTGGGGGAAATAGCTCAGGGCCACATTAGGGACAATGATTTTTGGGTCTTTGCAGAGTTCACAATTGAAGATAAGAATGCGGGGGTTAATAAACCAAGACTTTGATCTGAAAGTAACAGCATTTATTAATGTGATGTGCTCATTACTAGCCAAATCCTATTGCTTCCATCTAATAGTCAATGTTGTTCAAAAAGCAGGTGTGTTTCTGAGCTTCTTGCTTCGCCCTCATCAGGGCTAATGCAATAATACCAAATTTCAAACCATCACAACAATTTACAGTACAGGAGGAAAGGGTGTTGATTCATTGACAAGTTGGCTCTGATTGGGTCTGGCCTTACTGGGGAGAGAGCTCCTGTTTGATTTGATCAGCCAATCACTGGTGGTCCATGGCCTATGACCCTGACATCATGCAGGGACCTTGCTCAGTTGTGTGACGAAATAGCTACATCCTGTTGGTGGAAAATACCCTTCATGGGGCCTCTGCATAGAAACAATGTGAAACAGTTGTTCAGCATGTTGATCCAGTTTCAAAAATGTTTCTCTTTTCAGCAATTCCCAAGTTCTCACACTACCAAGAGGCTGAGGGTAAATCTGCAGATATTTTAAAACATAAAACTGAAAGGAGATTCTTTTCAAAATCATTTTCAAGCTGATTAACATTGTGCCTTTGTACAGTCAATGTTGGTGGGTTGTCTTCCTGAGTCGTTGACTGTGCAGATTGGGTTGTTCCTCAGGAGCACAGAGGTGATGTTTGGAAACACTCTGATATCCCATTGCTCGATGAGGTTGTCAGTGACCTGGAGACAGTTCAGCTTTACCAGGTTATCAGCAAATCCATTTGGAAAGCCTCGCAGCCTGTTAAAGGAGAGGGTCAACTCTTCTAACTGTGAAAGCCCATCAAATACCGGCAGACTTCTGAGGTTGTTGCTATCTAAATGCAGATAGACGAGTTTCAGATTATATTTGAATGTGTCAGCTACCAGGGTGTCAATGAAATTGTCACAGAGTTTTAGCAGTTGCAACTCTCTGAGATTGGAAAGCAAGTTCAGTGGGAGAAATATTAATGAGTTGTTGGACAGGTCGAGCTTCAATAACTTTGTCAAGTTAGCAAACTGCTCAGGTGGAAAATAACTGATGACATTTCCGGAGATGGTCAGATACTGGAGATGATGCAGCTGGGAGAAGAGATTTGCAGTGAAGGTTCTGAACCTGTTTTTGTCTAATCGCAGGTCGGTCAGTTTGTGATGGTGATTGAGGAATTGGGAAGGCAGGGAGCTAAGCTCATTGTTTGACAAGTCAAGAACTTTGAGGAGAAGCAGCTGACTAAAACCTGTCTCTGGGAGTGTCTTGAGTTGGTTACTGTTGAGAAACAGAGTGTCGAGTTGAGGAAAATGTTTAAATGTTTCTTGGAACACTGTGAGGTTATTGTTGGACAGATCCAGGTAGGTCAGTTTAGTGAGTGACTTCCCTAGGTGCAGGCTGTGTAAGTTATTGTTGGCCAGGTTTAACCAGGTGAGATTGGAGAGGTTTCCAAATAGATCTTCTGGGAGTTCTGATAGGTGGTTTGCAGATAGATCCAGAGCCTGCAGTCTTGGCAGAGGGTCAAAGATGTTGTTCTGAAGGAGGAGACAGTTACTGGATAAACCGAGATAGTTCAGCTGTCCCAGGTTCCTGAAGGAATTGAGAGGAATTCTAGTCAGAGAGTTTCCATCCAGGAATAATGTCTGTGTGCTGGGATTGATATCCACTGGGATGCTCTCCAGGGCAGTGCCGCGACAGTCGACAAGTTTTGAATGGCAAAAGCATTTCTCGGGACAGGCAGAGAGAACCCCTGCTCCAAAGAGAACAACTAGCAACTCTAGGATTCTCCCCATGCTGCCTACAGCAGAGAGATAAAGCTCAGTTATTGCACAGGCAGCTTTCAGGAAACAAGTGCTGGCATTTCATATCATTTCATTTCCACACATATCCTATAAAAGCAAAATACTGTGAATGCTGGAAATCTGAAAAACAAACAGAACTTGCTGGTAGAAACTCAGCAGGTCTGGCAGCATCTGTGGTGAGAAAAACAGAGTTAACATTTTGTTTCAGAATTACTATTCTCCCCATATCTATTTGGCTTTGTGGCTGCATCCTCACAAACACCTTCAGTGCTTAACCCCTTCAAACAAACCAAAAAAAAAAATTCAAACTCTTGCATTCATATAGAGCCTTGCACAGCCTCAAGATGTTCCAAGACATTCTAAACCGATGATGTACTTTTGAAGTGTGATCATAGCTGTAACATAGGAGACACAGCAGCCAATTTGGGCATGGCAAGCTCCCATCAATGATAATGTGGTCGATGATCAGATAATTTGTTTTGGGTCATTCTGGTTCAGGGATAAACATTGGCCACAGGACATCAGAGTTCTACTCCATTCGGATTTCATATTTACTGATGGCATGGAATTCTGCTGTGGATTTAACAAGTGACACTAAAGAACCAATTTGACAACTTCATTCCTGATATTGAAAGTGAGAAAATCATAGTGGCACTGTTTTACATGTGTCATAGAGGTTTACAGCATGGAAACAGGCCCTTCAGCCTAACTTGTCCATTCTGTTTTCCCATCTAGTCCCATTTGCCTGCATTCGATCCATATCCCTCCATACCTTTCCCATCCATGTACCTGTCTAAATGTTTCTTAAATGGCAAAATTGTATTCACCCCCACCACTACCACTGGCAGGCCGTTCCAGACACTCAACGCACTCTGTGTGAAAAAATTGTCCCTCTGGGCCCTTTTGTATCTCTCACCTCTCACTCCAAACCTGTGCCCTCTAGTGTTAGACTCACCTACCATGGGGAAAACTGTTGGCTATCTATCTTATCTATGGCTCTCATTATTTTATTGACCTCTATAAGGTCACCTGTCAGACTTCGACAGTCCAGAGGAAAAAATCCCAGCCTATCCAGCCTCTCCTTATAACTCAAACATTCTAGTCAAGGTAGAATCCCATTAAATCTTTTCTGCACTCTTTCTAGTTTAATAATATCCTTTCTATAGTAGGGAGACCAGAACTACACGCAGTACTCTGAATGTGGCTTCATCAATGTCTTGTAGAACTAAAATACGACATCCCAACTACTATAGTCAATTCTCTGAGCGTTGAAAGGTAGCATGCCAAAAGCCTTCTTCACCGCTCTGTCTACTTGTGAGTCCACTTTCAAGGAGCTATGAACCTATACTCCTAGATCTCTTTGTTCTATAACACTCCCCAGGGCCCTACCATTGACCGTATAAGCCCTACCCTGGTTTGCCTTACCAAAATGCAACACTTTGCACTTTTCAAATTAAACTCCATCTGCCATTCCTTGGCTCGTTGACCCAGTTGATCAAGATGGTTTTGTAATCTTAGATAACATTCTTGACTGTCCACTATACCACCAATCTTGGTGACATCTGCACGTTTACTAACAACACCTCCTAAATTCTCATCCAGATCATTCAGATAAATGAATAACAGTGGACCCAGCACCAATCCCATGGCACATTGCTGGTCTGCCAGGCCACCAGTATGAAAAACACCTCTCTACCACCACCCTGTGTCTTCTACCGTCAAACCAATTTTGTATCCAACTGGCTAGCTCTCCCTGGATCCTGTGAGATTTAACCTTACTGAACAACCCACCATGCGGTACCTTGTCAAAGGCCTTGCTAAAGTACATGTAGATAACATCTACCGCACTGTCTTCATCTACCTTCTTTGTCACTCCTTTAAGAAACTCAATCAAATTTGAGAGATGATTTCCTATGCACAAAGCCATGCTGACTATCCCAAATGAGTCCTTGCCTCTCTAATTGTCTGTAGATCCTGTCTCTCAGAATCCCCTCTAACAACTTACCTACCCCAGATAGTGGTCTGTAGTTCCCAGGAATTTCCCTGCAGCTTTTATTAAATAATGGCATAACATTAGCCACCCTCTAATCTTTGGGCATTTCACCCGTGGCTGTCTACAGTACAAATATCTCAGTTAGGGGCCCCACAATTTCCTCCCTACCCTCCCACACTTCACCAGGTTCCCAGGGATTTATCTACCTTAATGCATTTTAAGACTTCCAGCACCTCCTCGTCTGTAGTGTGGACTCTCTTCAAGACATCATTGTTTATTTCCCCAAGTTCCCTAGCATCCATGCCTTTCTTGATGGTAAATACTGACAAGAAATATTCATTTAGGATCTCACCCATCTTTGTGGGTCCGTACGTAGCCGACCTTAAGGGGCCCTATTCTCTCCCTAGTTACTCTTTTGCCCTTTATTTATTTGTAGAATCCCTTTGGATTCTCCTTTACCCTATCTGCCAAAATCAACTCATATCCACTTTTAGCCCTCCTTCTCTCTTAAGTGTACTCCAACACTCTGTATACTCCTCAAGGAATTCACTTGATCCCAGCTGCCTATACATGTCATATGCCTCCTTCTTTTTCTTGACCAGGGCCTCAATAACTTGAGTCATCCAGGGCTCCTTACTCCTGCCAGCCTTACCCTTCACTCTAACAGGAACATGCTGGCCCTGAACATTAAGCCACTGTTGAAAGCCTTCCACTTACCGGATGTCCCTTTGCCTCCAAACAACCTCCCCCAATCAACTTTTGAAAGTTCCTAAGATCATCAAAATTGGCCCTGCCCCAATTTAGAACTTTAACTGGTGGACCAGACCTATCCTATTCCATAACTTTTAAAAAACTATTGAATTATGATCACTGGTCCCAAAGTGATCCCCTACTAACACCTCTGTCCTGCCTTATTTCCTAAAAGCAAATTAAGTTTTGCCCCTTCTCCAGTAGGGCCATCTATGTACTGCATGAGAAATTCTTCCTGAACACACTTAACAAATTTCTCTCCACCCAAGCCCTTAACACAATGGCAGTCCCAGTCTATGTTTGGAAAGTTAAAATCTCCTACTATTACAACCCTATTACTCTTGTAGCTATCTGCGATCTCCCTACATATTTGCTCCTCAATCTCCCATTCACTATTGGGGCACCTATAGTACAATGCTATCAAAGTGATCACCTCCTTTTCATTTCACAATTCTACCCATATAGACTGAGTGGATGAACCTTCGTGGAATGTCTTCTTTCAATACTGTCATGATATTCTCCCTAATCAAAAATGCAACTCCCCCTCCTCTCTGGCCTCCCCTTCTATCCTTCCTATAGCGTCTGTACCCCAGAATATTGAGCTGCTAGTCCTGTCCCTCCCTTAGCCATGTTTCTGTAACAACTGTGACATTCCAACTTGCTCTTTTGTCTCCCTATTGGTTTGGAATCCACCCCCCACTCCCCCTGCCCCCCACCACCCCCGCCAGGCTAATTTAAACCCTCCTGAGTGACTCTAGCAAATCTCCCCACTAGGATATCTGTCCCCTTCCAATTTAGTTGTAACCCGTCCCTCTTGTGCAGGTCATCTCTACCCCAGAAGAGATCCCAATGATCCAAGAATCTGAATCCCTGCCCCATGCAGCAGCTCTCAAAGCCACACATTCATCTGCCAAATCCCCCTGTTCCTACTCCCACTAACACTTGGCACCGGAAGCAATCCAGAAATTACTACTCTTGAGGTCCTGCATTTGAACCTTCTGTCTAACTCCCTATAATCCCTGTTCAAGACCTCGCCCCTTTTCCTACCTGTGTCGTTGGTACCAATGTGTACAATGACCTCTGGCTGCTCACCCTCCCCCTTCAGAATTTCACGCAACCGCTCAGAGATGTCCTTGACCCTGGCATCAGGGAGGCAACACATCGTCCTGGAGTCTCAATTGTGGCCACAGAAATGCCTATGTGTGCCCCTGACCAGCGAGTCGCCTACTACTAACCCACGTGGACTAAGCCCAACACTGCTCTTACAGCAGAGCCAGTCATGGAGCCACAGGCCTGGTTACTGCTGTTGTACTTGCCTGAGAAGTCATTTGAACCCTCCTCCACACCGCACCACCGCCCCCCCCACACCCCCACCCCAGCAGTATCAGAAATGGTATACCTTTTAATGAGAGCGGAATAGCCACAGAAGACTCCTGCAGTACCATCCTGCCTCCCCTGGTGTGACCCACCCACCTGACTGAACCTGTGGTGAGACCATCTCCCTGTAACTAGTGTCTATCCCACTCTGCCTCCTGTACGCTCCTCATGTATCCAACTGCAGATCCAACTGATCCATGGAGTCTGTGAGAAGCTGCGACTGATCACATTTCCTCCAGACATAGTCGTTGGGGACACGAGACTGCTCCCTGATCTTCCACATCTGGCAGGAGGAGCACACTGCTGCCATAACTGCTATCTCTGAGCCTTCACAGTAGGACAAAGAACAAATTCTTACCTTGCCGCTAGCTCGTTGCTGATCACCCTCCCCACTGAAGCTCAATTTCACCAAAGCCCACATTTAATCCCCCAGCGGCACTCCAACTGCAAAGCAGCCCTTCTCAAAATGGCCACTCTAAAAATGGCTGCTTTGCTACAGCTTGCCTCCCTTTTATTTGCTCCTGGACGGTCGCTGGGGATGGAGCCAACTCCTCCCAGAATCCTCCTCTGCCACTTCTCCGCAGCAACCTCTATCAGCACAAAGCTGCTCCATTGTGTCATCTCCCCTCACAGTAAAGTTAGGCATGTTGACGACTATGTTCAATATTAGAATAACAAACAACATTGACATTAAATCTTTGCTACGTGCACCCCCTACATATACATATGTTTCCACACTGTGTAGCCACCAGACACCCCAAAAAATTAATCTCCTGAAATTGTGACAAAGGTACAAGAAACTAATGGATCTCAAACACAATCAGAAACTTGTTTCATTGGATGTTGCAGGTACAATTGGAGAAATGGCTAAACAAA